ACCCCGTCTCCTCCTTGTCCTGTCTCAGCTGGAGAGCAAACGGGACGCCTTCTCGCCTGTGCTGCTGCAGTTCTGCACGGACCCTCGAAATCCCATCACCGTGATCCGGGGCCTGGCGGGCTCCCTGCGGCTCAGTGAGTGTGGAGGGGCCCGAGGATGTGGGGAGGGTGTGGAGGGGCCCCCTTTTGAGGGCCCCCCTGCTTGCACTTACAGACCCCCCACTGCGGCTCTCACGAGCTCTCCCTCCGCAGGCCCTACTTGCGGCCTTGAGCTTTCTTCCCATTGCCCGCCGCCGTGGCCCCAGCACTGGGCAGACGGGAAGGGGGTGGATCTCAGGACCTGGTTAGGGTCACTTTGGGTTTTCTTGATCGATTAGGATGAGAATACAAAATTCCCACTGGCCCATGGTGTGGGGACTTTTTAAAGTTTATTTTGAGAGACACTGCGAGGAAGGGGGGGAGAGGAAGAGTGGGAGTGGGAAAGGGGCAGAGAGAGAGAGAGGGAGAAAGAGAATCCCGTGGGCTCCATGCTCAGCACACAGCCTAATGAGGGGTTCGATCCTTGACCGTGAGATCATGACTCACCGATTGAACCACCCAGGTGCCCCCAGGCTCTTTTTTTAGCGCTTTATTGTGCAAAATATATTTTTTATTGTGCCAAATTTCAAACAGAGGTACACACCTCCAAATGGAAACCACGCAGAAACGCAAAACACAGTCGTCTTTCCTCTGTACCCATAGCGTTCTCTCTATCCGTGTATCTTTCCTTCCCTCCGCTGTTAACGTGAAGTGCATTCTAGGCTTGTACTAGACTCAATCTCTCGTTGGACCCAATGATAAACTCCCATTCGCTGAGCACCTATTAAGTGCCAGGTGCAGGGCACCTGAGGACTGGTGGAAGTGCTCCAGCTCAGAGCAGCAGCGGGAGAAAGGGGGTGGCCCTGGCGGGGGGCGGGGAGGGCAGCCTTCCCAGCTCCACGTGCGTGGGGCGGGGCTGAGCTCCGTGCAGTGCAGTTTCGGGGCGGGGGAGAGGCTTGGGGAGGAAGGCGGCCCTCACTCCCTGCCCTCCGCCCTGCCTTGCAGACTTGGGCCTCTTCTCCACCAAGACGCTGGTGGAGGCGAGCGGCGAGCACACGGTGGAGGTGCGCACGCAGGTGCAGCAGCCTTCGGACGAGAACTGGGATCTGACGGGCACGCGGCAGATCTGGCCCTGCGAGAGCTCGCGCTCGCACACCACCATCGCCAAGTACGCGCAGTACCAGGCCTCGTCTTTCCAGGAGTCCCTGCAGGTGCGGGGGGCCGCCGGGCAGGGCGGGGCAGGGGGGGCTGCGGCGGGAGCCTGGGCTGGGGCGCTGACCCTCGGCCGCCTCCCCGCTGTGGCCCCGCAGGAGGAGAAGGACAGCGAGGACGAGGAGTCCGAGGAGCCCGACAGCACCACGGGAACCCCCCCCAGGTAGGTCTCGGTCGTCCGCCCCGGGCGCGCCCTTCCCTTCGCCCGCGAGCCTCCCCCAACCTGTGCTCTTTGCCCCGGCAGCAGCGCGCCGGACCCGAAGAACCATCACATCATTAAGTTCGGCACCAACATCGACCTTTCCGACGCCAAGCGGTTAGTGCGGCTGGGACGGGGCGGGGGGCGGGGGGCGGGGGGCGGGCGCTGCTGGGCCGGCGGGGGGCGGGGGCGCCCTCTCACTCCTGCGGCACCTTGGCCCCCGCAGGTGGAAGCCGCAGCTGCAGGAGCTGCTGAAGCTGCCCGCCTTCATGCGGGTCACCTCCACGGGCAACATGCTGAGCCACGTGGGCCACACCATCCTGGGCATGAACACCGTGCAGCTGTACATGAAGGTTCCCGGCAGCCGAACGCCAGGTGCGCTCCCCGCCCGCCCGGGCGCGCGCGAGGGGCGGGGCTGCCGCTCCGCCAGCCAATGAGGGCCCGGGGGCGGACTGGTCGCGGAGCGCGGGCGGGGCTGCCGCCAGCCACGCCGTTCTCTGTCGCCCCCTGCAGGCCACCAGGAGAACAACAACTTCTGCTCCGTCAACATCAACATCGGCCCCGGCGACTGCGAATGGTTCGCGGTGCACGAGCACTACTGGGAGACCATCAGCGCCTTCTGCGACAGGTACGCGCCGCCCTGGCCCCGCCACATACACCTCCTCCCCTGCCCCCAGTCCCGCCCCATCCCTGTGGCTTCCGTCTGACCCTGTGGCCACCGCGCAGGCACGGCGTGGACTACCTGACTGGTTCCTGGTGGCCAATCCTGGATGACCTCTATGCTTCCAACATCCCCGTGTACCGCTTCGTGCAGCGCCCCGGAGACCTGGTGTGGATTAACGCGGGCACCGTGCACTGGGTGCAGGCCACCGGCTGGTGCAACAACATCGCCTGGAACGTGGGGCCCCTCACCGGTGAGACGGCGGGGCCCGTGCGTGGGGGGTGGGGGAGAGCCCCGTGGGCGGCCGGGGAAGGGAGGGCCTGGGGCCGGCGTGGTCGCGGTCCCTTGAGCCACCTCTGTTTCCCCCTCTGGCCCGCAGCCTATCAGTACCAGCTGGCCCTGGAACGATACGAGTGGAACGAGGTGAAGAACGTCAAATCCATCGTGCCCATGATTCACGTGTCCTGGAACGTGGCTCGCACGGTCAAAATCAGTGACCCGGACCTGTTCAAGATGATCAAGTAAGCGCCCCATGTGGGAAGGAGCCCATCTCCACCCGAGCTGGTCCCGCTCGTCACCTTTCTGCCGGAATCCGCCCCGTTTTCCTCCTCCTCTGCCCCGGACCACGTGCCCTGCACTGTACCCGCTGCCTCGGACCTGGGTTTTCCCGGCGGCCCAAACAGACAAGAGCCACGTGTCCGCAGTGATTGACGCCCCGGTCAGGGACTGTGACCCCGCCTGGCCGCCCGCCCGCCGGCCTCACGGCCCCTCCCCGCCCCGCGCAGGTTCTGCCTCCTGCAGTCCATGAAGCACTGCCAGGTGCAGCGCGAGAGCCTGGTGCGGGCCGGGAAGAAGATCGCCTACCAGGGCCGCGTCAAGGACGAGCCCGCCTACTACTGCAACGAGTGCGACGTGAGTGGGCCCGCCGCGCGCCCCCGGCCCCCGGCCCCCCCCCCCCACGGCCCGCCGTGACCGCGCCCCCTCCCCTGCGCCCCGTCCCAGGTGGAGGTGTTCAACATCCTGTTCGTGACCAGCGAGAACGGCAGCCGCAACACGTACCTGGTGCACTGCGAGGCGTGCGCGCGGCGGCGCAGCGCGGGCCTGCAGGGCGTCGTGGTGCTGGAGCAGTACCGCACCGAGGAGCTGGCGCAGGCCTACGACGCCTTCACGCTGGTGAGGGCCGGGGGCGGCGCGCGGGGGGCGGGGGGCCGGGGGCGGGGCCCGGCCCGCGCCCTCCCCTGAGCCCGGCGCCCGATTTCTCCCCCGCAGGCCCCCGCCAGCGCGTCGCGATGAGGCCGGACGCCCCGCCCGCCCGCAGGGCGCCGCGGGGCCACCAGCACACGCCTGGGCTGGACCTAGGTCCCGCCTCTGGCCGGGAAGGGGGTGTCGGGCCCGGCCCTTCCGCCCCATTGGCAGCTCCCCCTCACTTAATTTATTAAGAAAAAAGTTTTTTTTTTTAACAAATAAGAGGAAAAAAGGAAAAAAAATGGGAGACGGGGGAGGGGGCTGGCAGCCCCTCGCCCGCCAGCGCCTCCCGCTCACCGACTTTGGCCTTTCTAGCAACAGACACAAGGACCAGGCTCCGGCGGCGGCGGGGGTCACATACGGGTTCCCTCACGCCTGCCGCCCGCCCGCCCGCCCGGCGCAGACGCTCGCGGCTCGTGTTTGTACATAGACGTTACGGCAGCCGAGGTTTTTAATGAGATTCTTTCTATGGGCTTTACCCCTCCCCCCAGAACCTCCTTTTTTACTTCCAATGCTAGCTGTGACCCCCTGTACATGTCTCTGTTTATCCACTTGGTTATCATTTGTATTTTCTGGTTTTTTTTTTTTTGTTTGTTTGTTCTTGGTTGTTTCTGTTTTTTGTTTTTGTTTTTTTTTGGTTTTTAATTTATAACAGTCCCACTCACCTCTATTTATTCATTTTTGGGAAAACCCGACCTCCCGCACCCCCAAAGCCATCCCGCCCGCCCCTCCAGGGACTGCCCGCCGCCGGGCTCTCCCCGCGCCCCAGTGTGTGTCCGGGCCCGGCCCGTCCGTCTCCGCCCGCCCGCCCGCCCGCGGCTCCAGCCGGGTTCTCATGGTGCTCAAACCCGCTCCCCTCCCCGACGTCCTGCACTTTCTCGGACCAGGCCCCTACTCCCGACCCGACCCCGACCCCGCCTGAGGGTGAGCGACTCCTGTACTGTAGGGGAAGAAGTGGGAACTGAAATGGTATTTTGTAAAAAAATAATAATAAATAAATAAAAAAAATTTAAAGTTTTAAAGAAAGAACTATGAGGAAAAGGAACCCCGTCCTTCCCAGCCCCGGCCAACTTTAAAAACACGGACCTTCCCCTCCCCCCTCCCCTCCCCTCCCCCTTTTCTTTTTAAGCGTGAACCAGCCCAGGGCCAGGGCCTCACTGGGGCAGGGACACCCCGGGATGAGTTTCTCTGGGGCTTTATTTTCGTTCTGTCGGTGGTTTTTTTCTCCCACGCTGGGGCTGCGGAGGGGTGGGGGGTTTACAGTCCCGCCCCCTCGCACTGCACTGTCTCTCTGCCCCAGGGGCAGAGGGGTCTTCCCAACCCTCCCCCTATTTTCGGTGATTTTTGTGTGAGAATATTAATATTAAAAATAAAATCCGAGAAAAACATCCGGTTTGGATACCGTGCTGGGGGGCCGGCGGGGCGCGCACCTGGGGGGCGGGGCGAGCCCCTCCCCGAGGCGCCTGTGGAATGTCCAGCGCGCCGGTCCGCTCCTCCTCGGTCGGGGCTGGGTGGGGGGGCGCCCGATCCCGGAGCCGCATTCCAGGATAAGGGGGGGGGTGGGGGTGGGAGAGGCCGGGCCGGGGGAGGGGCAGGAAAGAGCGCTATAAGGGCCGCGGCCCAGGCGGGCGGGAGCCAGGCCGACCATGGCGGATGTCTCCGGGGCGCAGCGAGCGGCTGCCGGCGGCGGCCTGGAGCCCCGGGACCCCCTGGACTGCTGGGCCTGCGCCGTGCTGGTCACGGCCCAGAATCTGCTGGTAGCGGCCTTCAACCTCCTCCTGCTGGCGCTCGTGCTGGGGACCATCCTGCTGCCCGCTGTCACCATGCTGGGCTTCGGCTTCCTCTGCCACTCCCAGGTGAGCGTGCGCCCCGAGGTGCGCGGGTGCCCCGGGCCTCGGTGCCGGAGGCGGCGGTGGGGTCCGTGGGCCCGGGCCGCTCGGCTCGCGCCCGCCCGACGCCGCTTCTGCCCCCCCCCCCCCCCCCCCCCCCCCCCCCCCCCCCCCCCCCCCCCCCAGTTCCTGCGCTCCCAGGCACCGCCTTGCACGGCGCACCTGCGGGACCCGGGCTTCACGGCCCTGCTGGTCACCGGCTTCCTGCTCCTCGTGCCGCTGCTCGTGCTCGCGCTGGCCAGCTACCGTCGCCTCTGCCTGCGCCTCCGCCTGGCCGACTGCCTCGTGCCCTACAGCCGAGCCCTCTACCGGCGCCGCCGCGCCCCGCAGCCGCGGCCCGCCCAGGCCTCCCCTGGGCCCCAGGCCGCCCCCGCATCAGGGAAGGTCTGGGTTTGAGGACCCTCGGGTCGGGAGCTACCCTCACGACTGCCCCCGCTCCCGGTCGCCCCAAGGACTTGAAGCCTGGGTGCGGGGGGGGGGCGGTCTCCCGACCTTCCCTGCTCCCCATCCCTGCCCAAGCCGGGTCCCAACATCCCCTGGGGGAAGCGGAGCATCTGCGGACCCAAAGCTGGCGGAAATCCGCCACGCCCCGGAAAACCCACTTTCCTACTACCTACATCTGAATCCTAGACATCTGGGCTGGACTCTGGGCTGGACCCTGCGCACCCCCCGCCCCCCACCATTCGGACGAACCTCGCGTCCTCCTCTCCTGGTGCAGCTCCTCTGGTATCTGCGGGCTGGGGGGCGAGCTTCGAGAGGGAAGGAGTGACCCCACATCAATAAAGAATTAACGAACTGAATGCGTTGCTGGGATCCCGTGAATGGGGGATGATGGCACAGCTTCTACCGCCCCTGCCCCGTGCCCAGGAGCAGGAAACAGCGGGGGGCGGGGGGCGGGGGCTCAGGAGCGCATCCTTCAGCCTCCCGGCCTTCCCTTATCGCATTAGCCCGCTCTTCCTGGCCAGACCCCCAGAGCTCGCTCTGTCCCTGACCCTGAAGTCACCTCTCCATCAAGAGCGGAGAGGGCCCGGCCTCTGTCGCCTGCCCTGCTCCCCTTGGGGACCGAGCCCGTTCTCTGACCCCAGCTCGGAGGAACTCGGTGTTGCCAGGCCGGAGAGGGAAACAATGGGCCTTCCGGAGCAGGATGACACCCCCTCCAGCCAGTTCTGGAGCAGCAGCGTGGGAGGGAAGGTGGAGGGGCCCACCCTGGGGCCTGATGGTCCTTAGCTCATCCCCACCCCCGAACTCCAGGGAACCTTTGGCACCGCTGGACGTCCAGGGCTGGGCGAAGGAGGGCTGAGAGCGCTCCCGACATCTCCGCTACACTCGGACACGAGCCACTTCGTTTACAGGTTTAATGGTCTGAAAAGCAAACGCGATCGCGGTCAGATATAGGGAGGCCCTGCCAGGCTCTCTCTCTGCACCTCAATAGAAACGATGTGGTGGCCGGGTACCATGGCCAGGCCCAGCACACGGGGTTCCCCCGCAGAGAAAGAATCTGCAAAGAAGGGTCAGAGCATCAGGGAAGCCGGCCAGCGTCGGCCCCGCCCCTTCTAGCCCCAGAACTGTGGGGTGCAGCCACACACTGGCGGGAGGGGGGCTAGTGCCTCGCGGCGAGGCTCCGCCGCGTTCCCCGGGCACTGACCCGACGGCTTGAGGAACTCCTGCGCCGAGCCCAGGATGACATTGCAGTCGCGGTCGGTGCACAGGAAGCAGCCGACCAGGGTCCGTCCATCTGTCATACGAATGCGCATAGTCTTGTTGAGCAGCGCCTCCAGCTGCTGCCGGGCCCGCGCAGCCGGCGAGTCGTCGCGCTCCCCGTCCGAGTCCTGCGCGGGGCGGGACACGCGCTGAGCCTGCGCCGCCCACCCGCGGAACCACAGCTCCCGACAGCCCGCGGGGCGCTCACGCCAAGCCCAGAGGCTGCCGGGAGCTGCAGTTCCCCCCTCCGTCCCCCCATCTTGCTCCCCGGCTGCCCCTCGATCCCAGCCCTCGAGCCCGCGCTAACCCCGGCGCTGGAGCTGCTTTGGCGGCGGCTGCAACAGCCGTTCTCCTCTCGTAGCAGCATGGTCGGTCCGGCCCCGGCCATTTGCCCCCGGGCCTCCTGCGGGCCCTTGAACTTCCTTTCGGGTCCGGTGCTCTGAGATCTCGCGAGTGCTCCCGACCTCTTTTCTTTCGCGAGATCACCTCTCCTCCTCCGCCTCTTCGTCTCCGGGGCAACTGCAGAGATCTCGCGAGCTTCTCTTCTCCGACGCGGAGGCTCACTGAGGTCTGTGGCGCCGAAGTCTTAACATATCGCGAGTTTTACCTCTTTAGTTTCAGACACAGCCTTTAGGGACTTTGGGATTCGGCGAGAATACCTTTTTTCGTAACCGCACTCCACCCCACCCGCCCTTGTTTTTTCTACCTCGCGAGACAGGCAGTCCTAAATATCCCGTGTAGCCCAGACCAGTCTGAAAACCGAAGGCGTCCGCTCTCGCCCGGAACTCTTCAGCGCGCAGCTCGGTCCCCTGAAAGCCAGATTCGGACTACGTTTCCCGTGAGCACCCACAGTCCACGCCCCGCCCCCTCGCCCGCGCCGTGTTTGCTCTCTGTGGACGGTGGCCGGAGAGGGACAATGGTTTCCATGTCAGCGCATAAACGCGCTCGCCAGGGGGAAGAGCTGCAGTGAGTGAGAGCGTGCTGAGGAGGGACGAAGCAACAGGAGATGCTGGCGGCGCAGAGTGCGAGGGGCGCGCCGCGCCGGGGCCTCGTGGCCGGGCCAGACTTTGAGGTTTTCCGGCGACGCTATTTCACGCCGGCGGAGGTGGCCCAACACAACCGGCCGGAGGACCTCTGGGTGTCTTACCTGGGACATGTGTACGACCTGACGCAGTTGGCTCACGAGTACAAGGGTAGGGGCCACGCTCAGGGCCAGGGCGTACGTGGGGGGCGGGCGGTGCCCGGTTCTTGGGTGGCTGGCGTTGACCGCAGCTGCTCCTTCCCAGGAGACCTGCTGCTAAAACCCATCATAGAAGTCGCGGGCCAGGACATCAGCCACTGGTTCGACCCGAAGACCAAAGACGTGAGTTCGGCTGGAACCCGGGGCGGGGGGCGGGGGGCGGGGCCCCGGAGAGCGGGGTGGGGCCGGCGGGGGCGGGCGGGGGCCGGCGAGGCTGACTGCCCCGAGGCCCCTCCCCCGAACTCGGCTTTAAAGATCCGCAAGCACATAGACCCGCTGACCGGCACGCTGAGATACCGCACCCCCCGGGGCCGCTTTCTGCACGTCCCGCCGCAGCTGCCCCGTTCCGACTGGGCCAATGATTTCGGGAAGCCCTGGTGGCGGGAGTCGCGTTATGAGGTGGGGCGGCTGTCCGCCAAGACCCGGACCATCCGCATCGTTAACACGCTCACATCGCAGGAGCACACGCTGGAGGTGAAAACTGGTGCCTGGGGGCAGGTCAGAGGGGACGGGGAACCCCAACAAATCGCCAAGGAGATCTTCAGGCCTTTGGCTCTCTCCGTGACCCGTGGGAGCAGCGTTTCCTCTGCCTCCAGGGGCAGCGGGGCCTCCAGGGTGGGCAGTCGGAGGCGTGGCGGGATCCCGGGGTACAGAAGCCCAGGGTAGCAGTTCAGGCACCTCGGTGTCCTGCAAAGCTCTTACAGTGCTGCGTTCAGGATGGTGGTTGTAAGCAGACTCTCTTATTAGGTACTACTCGTAGGGGTGAGGAGGAGGAGGCAGTGACTCTGACCCTTTAAGGCCATCTGTTTGTTAGAAGTGGCTGTCATAAAGACCGGTAACAACTTGGGGGCCATTCACTGCATGATTTATCTGGGGCCCCGTGAACCGCCTGAAAACACTACCAAGGGAGGCTCTCTGATCCCAGCTTTGTCATCTTTGGGGCTCCTGGCCTTGGCTTGGGGCCGTGTGTATGTTGCATCCAGAATTTGGGGGGGGTGCTTTCGTGTTCTGCAGGTGGGGGCTCTGGAGTCAATGTGGGAAATCCTACACCGCTATCTCCCCTATAACGCACATGCTGCCAGCTACACGTGGAAATATGAAGGGAAGAACTTGAACATGAATTATACCCTGGAAGAGAACGGGATCCGGAATGAGGAAGAAGAATTTGACTATCTCAAGATGGACGGTGCACTTTACACACCCGCGATACTGCTCTACTTCAACGATGACCTCACGGAAGTCTAGGGAGGGAGATGTACACTCACGCAGACCTAAGACATATTTTGAGTTTGGCCGCTTCTGTGTCCTGTAGGAAAAAGCTGTGCATGTGCTGGCGCTGGATCCAGAGCTCCATTCCGTTCTGGAAGCTGGCTGTGGCCCCGATCTCTCTGAGGCACACAGTCCCCCATTTCCCAGGCCCGCTATGCTATACTCTTAGAAAGTTGGGGAGCCTACTAGAAGCACATGAACCGATTCCTAGGAATGATCCAGAAGGTGCGGCATCTCGGATTATGGAGATGTAAAGGGGACGGGCAGAGCTCAGGCAGAACTTCCTGATGGTCAGAGGAAGAGAAGTCCTCCACGGGGATGAGGGATGGACGGACTTTTGGGGGCAGTGATGGAAATGGAATGAGCTGCAGGAAGATAGGACTTTCCCAGACGGGAGCAGGAAGTGGTCAGTCACTGGCCAAACAAAACTGCCTTCTCTCCCTTCCAAAGAGTAGCTGGAGGTTAGAACCCAAAGGGAAGAAAGGAAGCGAACGGTTAGCAGCTGCTTCAGGCTGGCTCTTACGCTGTGTGCTTCGCGTGCCCTGTTTAATGTGACTTCGTCAGTGGGACGCTATCACCATAAGGCTTCTGAAGCTCAGAAAGATCCCCTCGCATTTGGCTTTGTTAAGTGATTGATGAATCCCGTGGCATCCCGGGTCTAGCACGTGGAGGGGGGGTCCCTAAGCTCAGCGTGATTTAGCAGCACGAAGGCACGCTAGTTAGTAGCCGGGACACAGGCTCGAGGGAGGACCTCACCGTCCGAGGCTCGCTGCACACAGGACCCTGGAGACCTACTGTGTGGTCAGCTGTCTTTCTGTGGGTTGTTGTTTTACTGCCTTTGGAAGGGAGTTAGCCAAGTTCTGCAGTGGGGGAGGGCGGAGGGGAGGCAGGGGGGAGGCTGTCACCTGAGCAGAAGCTATTGAGGCTACTTCCTGGTTGATCCCACAGCAAAATTTTCTCCGGACTTTCCAGAGGCAGGGAGGGAGCTGTGTGCCGGCCCCAGGGAAAACTGGAGTGGGGGAAGGGCCAGGAGGGGGACATAAAGGAGGCAATCTTGGCGGTCGCGCCCCTTAGGGAAAGGAAGACTGGTGACCTTTTCAACAGTAGTGTGGAGAGAGGAGCTAATGAGGTCAGAAAACCCGTGTAACCAAGGGACAACCAGCGTGGGGGGCGGGGAGGCAGATGTGTCCTCTTCAACCTCAGCAGGGGTGCCGGGGCGGGGGTGCCAGGGCCCAGGCAGGGGGCCGCCGAGGCGTGTTCTGAGGGGCTGGCAGGAGAGGCATGGCCACAGGCGGACACAGGTTCGGCCTCGGCCCCTTCTGAGCCCCCGTGAGACCGAGGGCTTCATCCACTCACTAAGGCGAGAGGGCCGCTTAGTGTCTGGATCTTTCTGATGTTTGGGCCGCTCTGCGGTGACTTCACGTGCGTCTTGTTTGCTCAGTTAAACCAACACAAGTCGAGAACCTGAGCCAAGCATGTGTCCATGCGCCTGTGTCTCCGGGAGGGGCCCCCACCCGCCGCTCTGCCTCTGGCTCCTACCTCAGTGTCTCCTGCCGGGAACCCGCCCCTCTCCGTGCTCCCCGGACACTCTCCTAAGTGTCCCGGGAATCCGTCCTCTCTCCGCTTCTGCCCCCACACACCAGCCGGCGTGCGCCCTGGAGACCAAACCGAGGCCTCTGACTTTCCTCCTCCAGAGTCTTCTGTGGCTTCCGGCTGCTTTGGGAATAAAGCCCTCTAAGTCCAAAGACGCTGTGTAAACCGGCCTCTGCCCACCTTGCAGGTCTCACCTTGGTCCCCTGTGTCCCGGCTGTGCAGGCTGTCTCCCAGTCCATGAAATGTCTGTCCTGCCCGAGTGCTCGCACATGCTGTTCCCTCTGCGTGCACACCCTTCCATCTCCCACCCGCTGAATCCCAAATGGTTCTTCCTCGGGAGAGCTTCTCTGATTTCTTGGTGTTGAAAGCGAGTCTCTCTGTTAGATCATTTCTGAGCACCACACACTTCAGAGTACCTATTACATCTAAATTTTAAAATCGAGGATGCCCCTGGCCGGCTGGCAGCTAGAGAGCAGAGATCACGTATGTCCATTCTGTTCGCCGACGTATTCCCAGTGCTGGGCGCGCAGTTGCTGCTCAATAAATTCTTTTATATATATATATATATTTTTTATTTATTTCTAGGAGAGAGAGAGAGACAGCGTGAGCAGGGGAGGGTCAGAGAGAGAGGGAGACACAGACTCTGAATTAGGCTCCAGGCTCTGAGCTGGCAGCCAGCACAGAGCCCGACGCGGGGCTCGAACCCACCAACCGCGAGATCATGACCCAAGTGAAAGTTGGATGCTTAACCGACTAAGCCACCCAGGCGCCCCGCTGCTCAATAAATTCTGATGCAGTGACCTCAAATGTTGAGTGGCCTCATCCGTCTAGAAGAACTCGTGGACGGGATGTTGCGTCCGGGGAGGCCAGGTGAGACCGCCTCCATCCAGAGGCTTCCGTCCTGTTCCCTCGGAAGCAAGACTGAGCGCCAGGGGCCTTCCTCTCACCGATTTGGGGGAAGCCTGTCATTCCCGCGAGTGGCCACCAGGTGGCGGTCCTCGCCTGCGGCGGCGGGGGCGGGGCGGCTAAGGGAGGGAAAACCCCTGCAGGTTCTGAAAAGGTTACAATGAAGGGCGGCCCCGCCGGAATTTATAGGCGGGAGGGAAGGATCAGAAAAGAAGTTAAAACCACGCCACTATTTTCTTAGCCTTAGGTTCATTCCCCTTCTCGGTTTTTTCCACAAGCTCACGCCAGGAAAGGAGTGCAGGCGGAGAGGGAAAACCGACGGGGCAGCACAAGGACGGGGTGCTGATTACAGGGGTGGGTGCGCTCGTGGAGCGCTGAGCTGCGAAGGAATCGGGACCCCACGTGTCAGAGAGAAGACAGCACACGGGTCTATTGACGCGTACGGCCTTTAGTGTGGACGCGAGTAAAGCTTTTCACGAGGCCCCACCTGGTTCTCTAAATACCCGAGGCTGGATAGTTGCAGGAATATGTAAATAAGGCCTCGGCCTAACATCCAGAAAGCAAATAGCACATGAGTGGGGGGTCCAAGCCGCCGGGGGGGGGGGGGGGACGCCTTTCCTGGAAGGAAAGCCGCCTGTGCCCAGTGGACCCCAGCGACCTCAAAGGCCTCGATGGGCAAGAATTTCCCACAAGCCTTGCTCCCTACAAGCGCCTATCACCAAGGATAATAAAGACACGAATGTCGTCGCAGGGACCCTGCCCGCTCAGCGGGACAGAAGACACGCACACAAAAAGGTAAATGAAAACAGTCCATGATGAAGGAGCAGATTGTGGCATAGAAAGTCTCCACCCTCCTGGCAAATCACAAGTGGATTCTTAACCCGGATCTCCAGAAGGGCAGAAGTGGTTTCTAAATATTGTGGGGTGTGGTTTTTTTTTTTTTTTGTATTTGTAAGCACGTGCAAGCTCAGATATGAATTATGTTGGAGAAGGGTGCGATAATTTCCATCAGTCTCAAAATGGCCCAACCCCCTGCCCCTGAGATAGTACATCCCCCCCCCCAATAATTTAAAGTGAAATATCAAAGGCGACAATACCATGCGGTCCCAGGATTCCAGCCACCTGTCCCCATGCTCTACCTCATCCATTACACCTGTGTTCCCGCGGCAGCCATTCCTAACGCTTTAACCCCTTGGGGCTAAGTCCGTGGCCAGTCCGACACGTTTTACTACCGTCCCAAATTCTGATCTGGATGTACCTCGGAGCTGAGTGAGGGGGGGGGTCTGTCATTTAGGCTTGACCCTAACACCCAGTGGTGATGTCAGGAGGAGCCCAAGACTCCCAGCCCGCACAGCGAGCCTAGGTGAACCGCTCGGTGGTGGTGCGCGGATATTTGGGGGGAACAGCCAGCTTTTGATAGATCAGCAAGAGCACAGGGAGGTCTCGGTCGTAGAGAAAGCAGACAAGGGTCTGAAGCCTGAATGAACTTGAAAGTCAAAGACGAGGCATTCAAAATACACGCAGGCGCGCCGCCCGAGGACGGGGTCTTCCAGGCATAAGGGAAACACTTAAAAACAGCGATCAGAAAGCTGTGAACGAGTATGTGAAGGGAGGTCGCTGACGTGGGGCCCGGGGTAAAGGAGGTGGAGATGAGCAACGCGACGGTGGAGACAGAGCTAGGATTCAGCCCCTGTGTCACGGGGACGGCCCAGCCCCTGCCTTTTGGGAGCTTGCGCTGTTTAGTGGGAACCTCGGTGTCCAGCTTCCACCTGACATAATCATCCATCTGTACCTGCAATGCCAGGTGGTGGCCGGCGCAGGGGCGCAGTCGGTACCTGCCTGCTTCAGGAATTAACGGCACACGTGGTCCCTACCGTTTGAAACGTGTGACCTCAGGAGCTGAACAGACCCAGATAACGGGCTGTCTGTCCCTTGCTACTTGCCGGCTGTCGCTGTGTGGGGAGAGCCCGAGAGATGCGGGCAGTAACCTGTGCCCATGAGTTCTGCCCGCCCTCCTGTAGAGCAAGAAGGACGCCGAAGTGTCCCCTCGCCCTTTATTTATGTTTTATTTTCTATTTGAGAGAGAGAGAGAGAGAGCATGAGCAGGGGAGGGGCAGAGAGAGAGAGAGAGAGAGACACGGACGCCCAAGCAGGCTCCGGGCTCTGGGCTGTCGGCACAGAGCCCCACATGGGGCTTGAACCCCTGAGCAGTGAGATCATGACCCCGGGCCGAAGTCGGACTCTTAACCACCGGAAGCACCCAGGCGCCCCCATCCGCTTGTGCTCAGCGGACAGCCTGGACCGGCAGATCTTCCTCTCCCCGAGCGCCTCACGGAGAACGTATCTGGCTGCGAATCCCAGAAGCCCGACTACCGGGGCCTAACTGAAAAGAGCAAAGTTTTCTTAAGTGCTAAGTCTGTGGGGTAGTGACTCGGCCGGCTGCTCTGCTTCTAGCCTGCACGGTGGGCAGGGAGGAGGAAAGGGGAAGGAAGAGCTCGCGTCTCCATCAAAGCAAACATCTGACCTTTGAGCACATCCCCGGGGTAGGAGGCGCGCTGCACAGGGGCCCGTAGCTGCGAGGCAGCAGGGTGGGACCAGAGTTTTGTACTGACGCCCACGGCTTGTGCGGGGAGCACTGCCCCCCACCGGGAGTACGGACGCCCGGTAAGAACCGGCTGGCGTCCGGCTTCAGCTCAGGTCATGATCTCGCTGTTCCCCAGTTCAATCCCCGCATCGCATCGGGCTCTGTGTTGATGGCTCAGAGCCTGGAGCCTGCTTCAGATTGTCTCCCCCTCTCTCTCTGCCCCTCCCCTGCTCATGCTCTGTCTCTAAAAAAAAAAAAAAAATTAAAAAAAATGTTTAAAGACCTCGCCTCAAATCCCAGGGCCGGGCACCAGGCCTCCCTTCTCAGAGGGAAGAGCGGCAAAGCTACGCGTAGTAAGATCGTGTTGGATGTGGGACATCACTGGGGCCATTTTGCGGGGACCCCTTACCTTTGTCCAGGCGGCCCCGCGGGACCTACGGCTGCGGGTTCGTGTCCCGAGTTGGCCTTTCTGTTTCAGGACCCCCACCCCCCCTCACACAAGCGCTCTTGTCGCCCTCGCCATGGACCGGTCCACCCTCCACTCAACGTGCGGCCAGCTCCCGCCCCTCGGTCCCTGCCGGAAGCCTCTCCCAATCCCTCCGTGTGCGGCAGGCCTGCTTGCTTGCTTTTGAAAAAGACGGGAAATGTTTCCGCAGGCCCTCAGGCTGCCCCCACCGCTCCGTGTCCATCTCCCTCCCTTCTTGGACTCTAAGCCCCAGGAGGGCAGGCAGCGCGTCTCTTGTTTGCCACGAAACACGCAGCTCCTCGCTCGGTGCTCAGCCCAGGCGGTATGAACACGTGGGGGGAAAGGGCTAACTGTGAAATGGCTCGGGGGACAGCGCAGCCCAGTCGGGGGGGGGGGGTTTTTGGGGAGGCCTCTCGTCCGGCCAAGACCCGAAGGACCCGGATGAGGTAGCCAAGGGGGGAGGCCGGGGAGGGGAGGGGTGTGGGGAGCCCAGGAACAGAAGGCGAAGCTGAGGGACAGGAGGCCGGGGCGGGGGGGGGGGTGTTGAGGCCACGGCAGGTCGAGTGAGGCTGTGTGAACCTGGGTCCGTGTGCGTGCCGAGTCAGCGTTCACACCCGCCACTACTCACCTCTCCGAGCATACACGGCAAGGTTAAAGGTTTCCAGGGAGAATGCTGCGCTCAGGCTTGCGTTTTAAAGGGTTGACTTGCCGGGGCGCCTGGGGGGCTCAGTCGGTTAAGCGTCCGACTTCGGCTCAGGTCATGATCTCACGGTTCGTGGGTTCGAGCCCCGCGTCGGGCTCTGTGCTGACGTCTCAGAGCCTGGAGCTGCTTCAGATTCTGTGTCTCCCTCTCTCTCTGACCCTCCCCTGAGCATGCTGTCTCTATCTCTCTCTCAAAGATAAACAAAACATTTTTAAAAATTAAAAAAAAATAAAGGGGTGACTTGCCTACAATGTCCAGAGAATGGACTGGGGGGGGGGAATGCGAGGGGACCAGAGTGGAGATGGGAGCCCACGCCTCTGCCGCGGTCCAGGAGGGACACGGAGGTGGCCAGGACCATTAGTGGCAGTGGAGGTCAGAGAAGGTGGACTGAGGGCGGAAGCGCGCGGCTCGGGAGCTCCCTGGGAGCACGTCTGGGCCAGAGGGCGGAGGCAGGAGAGATGGCGAGTCCGCGGGTGGACAAGGGGCTCTGACTGGGGAGGAAGGTGGTGCGTGGCGGGTTGGTGTGGGAGGTGACTCTGGGGCGCAGACACAGATGTCCCCGACCTTCCTGGCTGAGTGGCACCGCAGCCCGAAGAGAGCTCTGGGCTTGGCCTGGGTACTGTCGGCAGAGTCCCCGCTGCCGAATTGAGGGGTGAAGCCACCTCGAGGAATGGCAGCCGGGGGCCGGGGAGGGGCAGGAAGAGACTCAGAAGGAAGAGCCAGAGCGGTGGGAGGGACCCGAGGAAGGTGGCGCCGTCGAGGCCAAAGAGCATCTGACGGGCAGAGGGGTGAACGGTGAGACCGCGGTGAGACCTCAGTGTCCACGGACGGAGCAAGCGGCAAAATGGTGGCATGTGGCGGAGTCAGGCCGGGCC